GGGTTTCGAAGAAAAATCACGGCCTCCTTGCGCTTGCAGGTAGAGTCGGAAGCGTTGCCAATGAGTTGTCCAGTGTTTGTTGGCCGAAAATTTCATGTGCGACGGCGACAGGCTCTGTAATGCTAGAAGTTGGGTTAACTGGTTCAGGTTTATCGGCGATACTCCGAGGCTTACAGTTCATCACGTTGGTTCTCGGTGCTGGTCGGGCTTGGCTGCTTTACTGTGTCACTGCGTCGGCTGCTATCACATCGCATACAGGCTCTACAGTTCATAGTACCACAATCTCTCAATCGAGCAGCACATGAGCATCCGCGTCGAGATGTCGATCGGTCTCCCAACGACTTGGCTGATTCGATCGGGGATTTATGGTATGCGTTTGGCGATGCGTTTGCTGCGTTGCGCAGACTTGGTGCGGCTGGCAAACGAGATCGCCAGGCTAAGGTGCTACCCGCTGTTGATGGTCCAACTGGCGAGCTTGTTTCTACTGTCCAGCAGGCCACGGAGCTACGGCTGGAACATTTTTCTGCGCAGAAGCTAGCGGCCAAGGTTGCGCCGCAGGCTTCCATGGACACCTTTTGCGACAGGTGTCTGGAGCAGGACACGGCAAGCAGACGCATTCGACACACCCCTACTCTCCAAGATTTGCATAGGGAACTCAGTGGCACGAAGAATAGTTACACGGTTTGCTTGTACGCGCATGTGCTAATACATTGGCTAAGGCATACGACCGATTTGTCGTCAAGGTTGGCCTTCTCACATCAGAAAATCTACACTGGAAAGGCGGCGATTTACCTAAAATACCAAAGACAGAAGGCAATGCACACACTACGGCGGCATCAGCATCAATTCTAATTGCTTCGCACATAGGCAAGAATGATCACGCAAGTCTACGACGCAAATTCATGCCGGCAATGCAACAGGCAATAGGTGATCATCCATATGCAGGTATACCCGGTAGAGGCACACAGCTAGCACTACTTGCGGCCAGAGTACTGCAAAAGTACTCACGGAAGGCTGGACTATGTCTGGCCATGCTGTTTGTGGATGTCATGAACGCTTTTTACTTTGCTATTCGGGAGCTTGTGCTCAAGACAGATCACGCGCCTGAGTCTGCAAAGGCGTTGCTGTTAGTGGCTGGGCTTCCAGAGGCATACTTAACATTGCTCGCGCAACGACTTCAAGAATTGCCGTGCTTGCATCGACATGACCTCAGCAATCATTTTGAGGTTATGGTCCAGGAGGCTTTCAGGTTGGGTTGGTTTTTATTCCCTGGGCCACACGCATTGCCGTGACTTTCCGAGGTACTCGTCCAGGGACGCCGTTAGGAGACGCACCGTTTCTTTTCATCATTGCTGAGGTCATGAATGGCATGATGTTCACCCTGGACGCGCCCGGAGCGAACATGTTTGAGGATACTGCTGATGACTTGAAGGTTTCTTTTCCTGGTCAAGTTTACGCAGACGATTCCATGTTTGCGTTCCTGGCTTCTCTGGAAGACTTTGAGCGGCACCTCAAAGATTTTTGCAGGATTGGACTCAACTCTTTTGCAGCTGCAGGTCTTGTTCCCCACCTGAAGGTGGGCAAAACTGAGATTATGCTGCATATGCGTCCTGGATCGGCTACGTTTCGGCGATGTGTTTCATATACTGGGTGCTCGCATGCCTGCACGCATGCTCATATGTGGTGGTACTCACGTACACGTTGTGCGCAGGTCAGTATCTCGGTGATGTGCTTACGGACAGGGCAGTGCCTGGCCCTGAGTTCGCGCACAGATAGGCAGAGGCACACGTTCCGCTTACTCACTTGAGCGAGGCGATGAGAAGAGCATCGAATAATACATATTTGCCCAAACTGGTCTTTACAGGTTCGCTAGTACTGAACTCAGCGCTGCATGGAGCAGGGACATGGCATGATCTATATGGAGATGACGTTGTTACTCTGAGAACTACTTACGCTAAAAGGCATAGAAGGAAACTACGTCTCCCTAGGTTTGAAGCGCACGGACCTACGGATGAAGAAGTCATGGATATGGCTGCTCGCCCTTCTATAACAATAGTTATTCGAATAGTTCGTCTACGTCAGTTTGGTCAAGTTTTGCGTTCGGTCCCTGGCCCACCATTGGCCTTACTGCACTCGGAATACAAAGAAGCACATGGCACTAAAAGGAAGTCTTGGTTACATCATGTTCAGGATGACTTGCTGCGGTTGAGGGCGAGCCACCACTCCCTTGTTTCCTTTTCCCACCCCAGTTGCGAACCCTCAGATGTGGGTGAACAACGTCAAGTCATCACCGCAGGCATGGAAACGCACCCTGGCTGAGGCGCTCAAAGCTTGCGTCGAAAAGGCCAGGAGGGATGTCGATGGAGCTCGATGGCAAAAAAGGGCGTTGTCGAATTTGCAGAGAGCGGGCCTTCCACCGGCCCGAGATGTTCAGGACGACCCGCAAGTTCCGGAAATGAGGTGCCCATGTTGTGAGTTTAAAGCCCTATCCGTTCCGTCATTGGATGCACACGCTCGTTCTTTACACGTTACGGTGACAGGGCTGGCGAGACGGCACGTGTCTGGACCGACATGCGCCGCTTGCCGCCGCACTTTCTCCTCGAGGTCTCTTCTTCTCAGACATGTCACCTCGTGGAGACCTTCTTTGTGGTTGTTTACTTGATACACGCGCCTGTTCTGTTCAACTGAAGAACAAAAAAGGTCAGCTCTGGAGGAGCATCAAGTCAACCAGCAGGCAAAGAGGAGGGGGTACCCCACCTCACATGCAAATGTGCCGTCACGTGTGCTTCCAGGTCCCATCGATCCAGTCGCTCGGATGGTGCGGGACATGTACACACGTGAGCAGGCTCGGTTACATATACAGAACACACTTCAGCATGTCACAGGTTGGTCTAGGCAGTGGCTCCAGCAGTTTGAGGTAGGACAGCCAGCTCCTGGATCCGTCCGTGGTCTTTTCTTGCATTGGCCTTTCGAGCTCGAGGCCTACACTGGATCCCTTGCAGACCCAATTCCACGTAGATTGAAGCGCAGGACGATGTTTATTGCTAATCTCCTTTGCGGACAGCGGCGCCAGGGTGCCATCCGGGCTGCTGCTGAGATAATCATAGAAACGAATATTCCTAATGTAGAGCTTCGAGATTTCTTTATTGATATCACAATAGACGAAGAGGCAGGCGACCTTAGCAAGCCAGACACAGTCTATGGAGCGAGCACATTAGGGCAGGTGGAGTTGCTGCAGTAGGAGGGGGACCTCCGTGCGAAACTTTCTCGGCAGCACGTTGGAAGGACGGAGGTCCCCCTCCGCTGCGTTCCTGGACTGCTCCATGGGGCATAGAAGCCATCACCCCTAGACAGCGTTTTCAGGTTCAGATTACGAATGTTCTATTCATGTCACACATCGAACTGCTCTCAGTATGTGCTGAGGTAGGAGGATGTAGATGGGGAGAGCATCTTGCTCCCCCCACTTGGGAACCTAGGGCTGTTCCTTCGTGGAGCTTTAGGCCAGTCAAAGCTCTAGCCAGTGCGCCGTGTGCCGCAGATACCGAGTTTGACCAGTGCGAATTCGGACAGTTAGCGGGCAGGGCACCCACAGGTATCCTTGCTATACGTCTAGGGTCATTGCATGACATGCTGCTAAACACTCCTAGAAGGGGGCAAGTGTAGCCACGGACCCAGGGCTCACATTGCGTTGCTCGGATGGGATCCTGACAGGAAGACTTTCAGAACGGCTCCCAAGAAGGTACATCCTGAGGCTATGTGCAAAGTTTTTGGTCCGGCGTTTTTGCATGCAGTGTTACCTTCTGTAGAGAGCTGTGTTCAGGATTCAGACCACTCAGAGATTCTAGCTCTTCGTAGGTTTTTTGTTGAGTCTGCTAGGGGCCTCCCTCGGAAGTTCCTGAGATGGGTCCTGAAATCGCTGTGGCCAGATCGACTAGAGGAGAGTCGACCATTGCACGCATTAGGAAACCTGTCGACCTGAACACAGGTGACGAGCCGTCCAATGAGGATCAAGATTTGGACAGCTCTCGTTCGATTGCCATCCTCTCTGCTGTGGAGGCACGGCCGATTTTGCCATCCCAGGTTAGACGAGATGAGACCATCTCGCCTGTTGTACCTCCCCCTAGACCTCCACCCTGTCTCTCGCGGTCAGTGCTTGATAGAATAGCAGTTAATAGAGCAGAAGCTCTCAGACGAAGAAGAGCTCGAGAGTCTGATGCAAGACGGCCCCATATTTCTTCCATCAATATGTTCGGTGAGCGTCCTGGCGACACTAGTTCGACGAGCAGAGATTTAGTCCAGGCTGATTTGCGTCAATGGTTTCGAGCTGCTACACGCATTTGACATGAGGAGGGGGGATGGATGATGTACCTCTTGTGGATTATTTGCAGGTGTGGTTTTGTCTGTCTTCGGCACAAGTTTGCCTTGCTAGGCTTGTACAGCACGGATCGCGTCTGTGCGCCGTCGAGCAGGCATTTCTTACACGTCTGTTTTGTCTTTCTGCGTGAATGAGGGCAGCCAGTAGCAGCAGCAGCATGCTTGTGCTTCATGTCTTGCTCTCTCTTCCCGTGCCATCTGTCCCGATGGGCGGGTCGGGAACACCAACTTCGGCGAGGCGCGCCGCACCCGCCTGCCGCCGCCGCCTACATAAGGAGGAAGGTTGAGGTTTGGATGGGGGTGTTGATTACATGATTGGGAGGTTGTGCTTTCCGTGAGCGTCCAGTGCCCTGTGCTGTTTGTTCTCGGTCTTCAAAAGTCGAGCGCCTTTGTTTACCCTCCGAGGGCCCCTCAAGATGGGCTCGTCGATCTTT